AAATTCCAACTTTAATATATTTTAAAAAGTTAGTGTTCTTAATAAAGTAAGAGGTCGCAGACTTAACTATTTAGAACGATCTTTCATCACTTTCACCGGTGGAACTTAACAAAATAAAATTGAGGCTTAGTAAACATCTGCCTGGAAAATATAAGTCGTCTTCTCTTAGAATACGTCAAGATAGCTAAAAAATGCACATAAAACATATTAAGCGCTAAGATCTACTTAAAATACACTAGATAATAGACGATGGCGTGAGGGACATGCGAGCATAGCCCCTAAACGGAGCCATTATAAACCTTTATTTTCCGTCTATGCAAAATATTTTGTAGTTGAACCAGTACGGCTCAGCAACTAATGAGGGGATGTATGTTCTATCATATTTGTTAGTTGCTATTTACTTTGGATTACTTGCACTCTTCTGATCATGCATAAACTAGGAGAACAACCTAGTCCATACTTCTCATTGACTGGAAGGCTTAATGAGTCTGCTTTAGGTGATGCTTATTTGTAATGATATTTGTGCAATGTGAAGTGTGATTCATTTTAGTGTCCGGATGTGCATTGATACCAGAAGTAGTACATAGACAAAAGTAGAATGTTATATTCTTTTATAGATTATAAATTATCTATAAATATAATAATCTAATGGTGTAAAAAATTTACTTTTAAATAAAATAAAATAGTTGCTTAACAAATAACTTATACATTCACTTAGTAAGTAAAGACTTTTCCAGCTTCATGTCTCTATCCCCCCATTCATCTCCCTCCCTCCTTCAGCTTCACGGTGATGCTCGGTCGGCTCGGGATGCTCTACTGTTATGGTGCCAACGAAGGACACAGGGCTACGCTGGCGTAAATGTGCAGAATTTCACAACATCTTGGAACGATGGCCTTGCTTTTGGTGCCCTACTACACCACCACTGTCCCGAGCTGCTTGAGTTTAACGAGCTAGACTCGAAGCTCCCTCTTAAGAACCTAGAAAAGGTTTTCAGCCTGGCCCAGGAGAATTTAGGCGTACCGCGGTTGCTTGATCCAGAAGGTAAATCTAGTAGCTTGAAATGTATTCCTCTTATATTTTCACTTGTAGTAGCCTAACCCTGTTTTAATCACTTGAATATGGTTAAGACTTGATCCCATTATATATTTAAAAAATTTGCTTGAAGGATTAACTTTGTTTATCTAGTCCATTAGAACTTTAAGGTGAGACTAAAAAAAGTTTAATATGATTTTTAGTTTTTATAGCCCGATTAGCTCAAATTTTCCTTATTTTCATGATGAATTCAAAAAACACATTGTTTAATCATATTTTTTTAGCATACAATTGTTTTAGAAGTTATTTGACCTTGTTTTCTCAACTTGGTCACATTGCTAGGAAGACTTAGAGGAATGCACCTTGTCCGGAGTCCATTGTATGCATAATTATTTCTAAAGTTGGAACGTTGACGTGGTACATTCTCAGACGTTTCGCCGGCATCGTAGTCGGGTTCGTCAGTAAATTTTGCCATTCGTAGCACCATAGTACAACTCGTCAAAGGGACAAGTGAAGCCGATCCTTTGACCAAACGTGTGCTAAACAGTTATCGTATCTCTCCTTCTGTCCTGGCCTATTCACATTTTCTATATCCTCCATTCACGCCTTTACTGTCACAATTTTTTACTTGCTTAAGTAAATGTGGTATTGTGTGCCCTTTTGAGCGGCTTTCATGAGAACCCTCCGCAATCCACGCTGGCCTTCTCACCTCCTTTCATCCTTGTGCTGGGAATGTTGATCAGAGTCGGCCATATTTTTACGCAGTCCTCCTTCCCCAGGTCTTACCACAGTCTCTCTCTTGCCGCGTAGAATCCATCTGCGATCTCTCTGGTTCAAGTATTTCTCTCTATCTGCTACTCGTGGTGTTATTACACCTCCTCTGCAGCTGGGTGACTAATTCGAGGCTAAAGCCTCTGAGTAGGTCTCATGTTCACGTCTTTGCCACATGGACCACGTCTCTTATAAAACCTACTGTCAACCCACTAGCTCTATCGCCGCCGCGTCTATCCTGTTTCTATCTCTAATACCAAGTCTATGACTTGCCATGCCCTAATCTTTTGTGTGCCAACCCACAAATGTTGTGGTATTGCTTACTTTGGTTAGGTTTAAGGTTGAACCACAATGTTTGCGGGTTGGAACAGAAGAGACTACGGCATGGGAAGTCATAGACTTGGTATTAGAGATAGAAACAGGACAGACACGGCGGCGATGGGAGCTAATGGGCTGACATTAGTTTTTATAAGAGACGTGGTCCATGTGGCAAAGGCTTGACCATGACGCTTACTCAGAGGCTTTAGCTTCGAATTAGTCACCAAGACTCAGAGGAGGGTGAATAACGCCTCGAGTGGCACAGATGGGCTGGCAGGGGTCGAGTGAAATATGTGAACCAGGGAGAGGGCAGACGTATCTTACGGGGCAGGAGAGAGACTGTGGTAAGACCTAGGAAAGGAGGACTGCGTAAAAACATGGCAGACTCTGATCAACATTCCCAGCACAAGGATGAAGGGGGGTAAGAAGGCCAGCGTGGAGTTCAGAGGGTTCTCATGAAAGCCCCTCAAAAGGGCACAAAATACCACATTTAAATAAGCAAGTAAAAAATTTGATAGTAAAGGCGTGAAATGATTATATATAATTGGTGATTAACCCAGGGCAGAAAGAGAGATACCATGATTGTTTACCAGAAAATTAGTCAAAGGATCGGCTTCACTTGTCTCTTTGACGAGATGTAGTATGGTGCTACGAATGGCAAGACTCACTGGCAATGCCGACTACGATGCGAAATGTATGGGAATGTACCACGTCCACGGTCCTACTCTGGAAATGATCATGCATACAATGGACTCTGGACTAGGTGCGTTCCTCTAAGTCTTCCTACCAATGTGACCAAGTTGGTAAAACAAGGTCAACGAAAGGAGACTGTGACCACACAAAAGCCCACACCATCTTGTTCTTCATACCTTCGATATAATTGTTTTGCCTGCTTCTTAGTTCGCGGGGCTATTTATAAGACCAGCATGTCTAAGTTATGTGTGTTATCTTCTAATCGGCACTATGATAAATTTTCCAGGTCGGTTAACTTTAGTTACGTAAGTGAGTTGACCACGTTCTCGCAACTTGGTTTTGCTGTTAGGGCCACTTAGTTGGATGCGCTTTGTCCGAAGTCCTCTGTCATAGTAGATATCATATTGCCCAGCGTCATACCGTGAACTTGGTGCATTCGCAGAGGCTTCGCCGGCATCGTGGTTGCCATCATCAGTGAGTCTTGTAGATTGGTGCTGAGAATGGCAAGACTCACTGATGATGCCGACTATGATGCCGGCGAAACATCTTCTAATGCACCAAGTCCACGGTCTGACGCTTTGAATTATGATAACTAATATGATCGAGGACTTTAGACAAGGTGCGTCCAAATAAGTCCTTACAACAAGAGCAAGTTGCCGAGGCGAGGTCAACCCATTTCTATATATCGAAAAGAGTCAGCGACCATACCGAGGGCCGCACCATCTTGGTATTCATATCTTTTATTTTCCTAAATTTTAACTTGTAACGTACTCCATTATCAAATGGATGCATTCAACATTAAAGAATTAATAAATGATGATATCAGAGCACCATGATGAGCTCTATCCGTGAATTGCTTTACAAAAGTAATATTAAATAGACAGAGTTTAGTAAAGAGGAGTTAAACAAAGTGACTCGGATTTCCTTCAGTAACAGGTACCCCAAATAACTTATATGAAGAAATCCAGGAATCACAAAGAACAAATATCAAAATGGATATTATGAAATTAGAATCAATAATCAAGATTTTGGCCAAAATTGGATATGCCTGCTCTCCTGTGAACTGAGTCAAAATTGTGATCTTTAATAATAAAATTGAATATCAAAGTAATAACAAAGGAAAAGGCAACATTCTTCACCAGAATGCCGACGTAGCTCGAGAAGGTTGACAAACTGGATTGCTCGGGAGTTTATGGCATTAAATGCGACGACTATGAGCAGAAGTCTATTGGTGAAACAGGAATAAAAATTAGCCTACGAATTAAGATACACCAACGACTCCGCAGGAACATGGATACGGAAAGTTCTAAAATAGTGGAACACATTGCATGGACGGGACACGAAATCGACTGGAAATCGACAGTAGGAATGGCTGTATATGGTTAGAATACAAGAAAACGCAAGATACAAGAAGCTATCTTTATCCCCACTGAAAGAAATCTAATGAACAGGAGACTTAAAGAGGGAAGAACTAGCGAGAACTTTGCATAGTGCTCATGCTAACTCGGAGGTGATCAGGTAACGGCAGGATCACAGAAAGGAAGATAAATATATCAAAGAAATATTTTTAAAT